CCAAGGTACTCAATGGAGTCAGAGTGAAACTTGCACTTCTCTGGCTTGGCATAAAGACCATGCTTTCGAAGGCAGCAGAGTACCTCCTTTACATGTTCGCAGTGTAACTCCATGTCCTGTGAATAAACCAGGATGTCATCAAGGTATACCATGATGCAGACATCGAGCATGTCTGCAAAGATGCTATTAATGAATCACTGGAAAGCTGCAGGCGCATTAGTCAGACCAAATGGCATTACCCACCACTCGTAAGAACCATAGCAAGTGTGGAAAGCCGTTTTCCATTCATCTCTGTCTGCGATGTGGACCAGATGATAGGTGTGGTGGAGATCAATCTTGGTATAGACCTTAGTGTGGCTTGGGGAGTCGAGTAGGTTGGAGATGAGCAGCAGTGGATAGTGATCTTTTTTTCGTGATTTTATTGAGTCCTTGATAGTCTACACAGAGGTGGAGTGAGCCATCCTTCTTCTTCACGAAGAGGACAGGGGACACCATGAGTGGAGGTGGACTGCTTGATGAAACTGTAGCCAAGGTGCTCAGTCAATGAAGGTGTGGAGAGCTTCAAGCTCTGGCAGAGACAGAGAGTAAATCATGCCAATGGGTGCAGAGAAGCTCCTTCCTCAAGGTCAATCTTGAGATTGAACAAACTGGTGTGGCGGAAGTTCAGTAGCCTTGTGTTTACTAAAGACATTCGGCAAACTCATGATACTCAGGAGGGACCAAGGAGAGGTCAGGAGGTGGAGAGGAAGTGGCAGGACACACAAAGCTTCACATCATCAGTGGAGAGTTGTAAGTGGAACTGTCTAGAGCCAGGGAGAGCACAGGCTCTGACATATGCAGCAGCATTGATGAGTGAGACAAGCAGAGCAGAGAACAGTGAGTCTGTTGGAGGTGCAGACAGAGTGGGGGGTGTTGGATCTGGAGCGGAGGTTGCAGCGGAAGGTGATGAAGGTGCCTGGGGTGTTGGCATTCCCTGTAATGATGGTTTGAACGATATACTGCCCAGTACCCAGTCAATCAATGGATTGAAGCGGGTGAGCCAGTTGTGTCCTAATACCAGTGAACAAGAAGAATCCAATGGAGTAACATAAAATGAAACAGAGTTGACATCACTGGAAGGAAAGCAGAGGGATAGATCTACCTCTTGGGAAATGACAGCATTTGTACTACCATCAAACAAGTGGAGTGGAACTGGCGGGGAAATGGAGGAAACAGGAACAGCATATTTTTTGATTATGGACAGGTCTACAAAACAATGAGAAGAGCCAGAGTTGATCAATGCAGAAACAGCATCAACAGAGTAACCAAGAAGAGTTACAGATGGAAGCAAGGAACCAGGACTAGAGAGAGCAAATGCGTTGAGTCAGATGTCCAGTTGTGCACAGTTGGGATCAATGCTTCCTCCAGGCTGTGCGAAGCTCCCTGGAGGAGTGGACTAATTTTTTGGCTCTGCCTTCTCTGTGGGTGGAGGAGGCAGAGTCCCTGCCATAGCTGCATGGGCTTTGGCTGCATGAGAGGTAGACCTGGGACAGTCCTTAGCAGGAGTGGCCCACCTCTCCACAGAAGAGGCAGAGGTTGTTCTTCATCCTATGCTGGCATTCAGCAGAGGTGAGTTTGCCATCCTTGCCCAGAAGATGGGCAATATTGGACTTGGGCAGATCCTTTTGCCTGCCCTTGCCCTTGGCATCGGACCTCGGAGCAGAGGCAGAGGATGACGATTTATACTTGTTGTTGGAGCTGGAAGGCTGCAACCTGTCGGTGGCAGACTTGGTGGTGTGCAAGATGATCTGCTTTATGCTCCCAGTAGCATGCATCAACAGTCTGAGCAAGTTCGCAGAGTTGTGCAAGGGTAGAAGGTTTTCCTATGCAAGCAATTTCATCCTTGATGCAGTCTGGAAGTCTGCTATAAAAGCAGTGGTGGAGTGCACTGACACTGTAGTCCTTGACCTGTGAAGCCCAGCGATTGAACTCCACGACATACTTGGTAATTTGAGAGCCATCCTTCATAGTAAGGTTCTTGAGTTGTTGGATGGCATCTGCTATGGCATCATGCAGACCAAAATTAGTTGTGAGCTCTTGTAAGAACTCGTGATAGTCATCCATCCAAAGCAGGCAGTCATAATTGTTGGGGTTTAGTAGGTCTGGCTTGAACCAAGCCAGGGCTATACCCTTAAGATAAGACTGAGTGAAGGTAACCTTTGCTCTGTCAGAGCGGAATGCATGGGGGCAGTCCTGGAAGTTCAGCTCGCATTGTACAAGGAACTCATGAAGTTTCTTAGGGTTGGAGCCATTGAAAGTGTCAGGCTTGCAGACTTTGGTTTTTGGAGCAGAGTCCCCAGTGCATGAACTAGACTGCATGAGCACATGGACAGCTCTAGCAAGAGCCATGAGGGGATCCTCTGGTGGCTCAGCCAGGTCTTCAGGGATATCCCCATCACCGCTGCCCCTGCCATTGGGATCACCATCAGGGTCATCAGGGTCGGGTCCATCATCTCGGTCTCGAGGAGACAGAGTATGGAAAGTGGTTGGATGGAGGTCGGAGCGACCAGCCTGCAAAGCGCTTTTGCCTTCGGCATGAGAATGGCATCAAACGGAGAATGACTGGAACTGTTCGATGATGAAAGGGAGTCAACACAGATTAGCTAGCACAACAGTGAGGTTCTCAGCAACCTCTCTTTGGGACTGAGCTCGAGTTCTCATAATGGTGTAAGTTTTTTGGAAGACAGAAAATGAGATCATACAAGTGCAAGTATGAATATACTGCCAAGTCTGGGCCTACTCCGACAAACTCCAATGCTTGTTGAGGGCTGGGGAGAGGTTCAGGAGCAAGTCCAACGGAAAGAGTAGAACTCCAACTGGTGGAGTGTTGGCAGGAATGAAATCTGCCAAGGTAAGGGCAGAGCGAAGTGAGGGCATCAGGTTTAGCTCGTGCACTACCCCCTTGCATGATCTCAGCCCTCATATTTCAGAGGGGGAGTACAGACAGACAGTCAGAGGTAACTCTGATAGGTGGAGGATGGAGGCAGAGGGAGTAGGAACTATGTTGATATTTGTACTGAGGAATGATGGAGTATGATACATGCTTTTATACTACCATGGAGGTACAGTAACTGGAACCGGAACTGACATACAGGGACCCAGCAATTTTCAAGTAAAACTTCCTAGATGATGAATGAAGGGTAGATGGAGGGCATATGAATGGGTAACATAGAACATCCAGAAAAGGAAACAGTCCAGGCACTGGACCATGCAGTGTGTGTGCTGCAGAGTACCTGACTGCAAGCTGTCAGGGAGGAGTCCAAAGGTAGTCACATGACTCCTCAGAGAATGGTCCGCTCAGTCCGGTAGGGGAGCAGTGTAACTCTGACAGCAGCTGGAGCGGAGAATGGCTTGCAACTGACAGAAGTTGGGCAGAGTTGGTGCATTAGTGAGTGAATGACCAGCAGAAAGGGGTGCAGAGTGAGTGAGGACCTAGGATGAATGCATGACCATGACACTTTTCAGGTTTGCACTGTCAACTGCATAAGCACTTTCTTGTCACTTCCATTTTCTTCTTGTTCACTCTCATTGTCTTCTTGTTCACTTCCCTTCAGACCACTTGCACTTCCCTTACCTTAGTCACTCTTTTGATTGCCAATACTATACCAGCCTCACGGCCATTATTATGTCAATCATTATGTCAATCTCAACTAATTACCATCCTTTCTTGTCACTCTTTTGACTTCTGATGCTGCTTACTTCATAGTTACATAATCCACATGTAGCACCTCATATATCTGTCATCATTGACAGGAAAAATAACAACTTTGAAGCCCCCAAGTTAGAGACAGAGAGAGAGAGCAGAAGTAACAATGTCAACACAACCCCTTCCCTTTCCCTTGCCTAGCACTGAGTAGCAGGCATATTTGCAACACTTTCAAGGCCAGCTCAAGGCTAGTCTCCCCCTTAATCAATCACACTCTTCATTTACAGGTCAATCAACTTGCATGACTCTGTTGCATTCACTCCCTGCCATCCTCCTACAGCTAGAGCAACTCCCCTTGGGTCAAACTCACCCCCTCAGATCACCTATCCCTAGGCTGGAGCCCACACCCTCATACTGAGTAGTGGATACCTGCTCCCCACACCATGATAAAGGAGAAATTGAACTCTCACAGGAAAGATATGTCAAGTCTATACTCTGGTGCTTTGGGTCACAGGATATGTGTACTGTTGGTACACCTACTGAACCCAGTCTCAAACTCAAAAAACTTGAACAGGCCAAGTCAGATGTTGCATGCTATCAGAGTGCTTTCAGAGCCTTGATGTACACTATGTTGGCTACTTGCCCTGACCTTGCCTATGCAGTGGGCATCCTTAGCAGGCATGCAGCAACTCCAGGTGAGCACCACTGGGTGGCCCTCAAAAGAGTCTATTGCTATCTCTGAGGGACCACTACCTTGCATCTCCACTACTCTGCAGCATCAGGACCCACTCTGGCTGGGTATGTGGATGTAGATTGGGTGTCCAATGTTAATGATCAACATTCTATCACTGGCTATGCATTCATCTTATGTGGTGGTGCAGTGAGCTGGTCATTGAAAAAGAAAACCTCTGTTGCTCTTTTGAGCACTGAGGCTGAGTATATGGCTGTTTGGGCAGCCACAAAAGAAGCTATTTGGATCTGCACACTGCTTGGTGAAATAGACATGGCTGCATGAGCTGACCCCACCCCTCTCCATGTTGACAATCAATCAGCAATCTCACGGGTGAGAAATGCAATGTTTCATGATTGTATGAAACACATCTCCATTCATCATCACTTCATTCAAGAGAAGATCAAGTCAGGGGATGTCTCTGTGGTGTACATGTCTACAAATGAGCAGCTGGCAGACATCTTGACCAAGGGACTTTCTAGAGATATGTAAGCACATTTGTTATTCTATTGGCTTAGGTGTTACTTATTGAGATATTCACCATTGAGTGGGCATGTTGATGCACATTAATTATATTTCCTACACCGGTAATATCTTACATAAGCACAGTCATTGTGGCACATTATTTTTCCTTTGTGCACCTCACTCTTCTCTCAATAGAAGCCTGAGTATCTTCACTTTTGTTAGTCTGTCCCTACTTGGAAACAACCACACAAAACATGTTGTCATGGTTAAAGCTGGTCAACTATGTAGAAGGTGCAAAGTTGACAACCTAGTGTTATGCAATGAAACAGGCAGATGCTAGCAGAGGGAGCCCCAGGCATGGGTCTACCTGACAGACAGGAGTTCCCAGTTTGTAAATTTATTTATTTATTTGATTTCCACACTGATGGCAATGGCCAACAAATTTTCCCACCAGTGATTGCAATGCTGTGATGTTGGCAAAATTCATCAACAATCTGTGTATGGCCTTTGAACTTGGCCTGAAAAAGGAACTAGAAAGCAATTATGACATGAGAAGCAATAAGGAACAGGAAGACCTACCAAGTCTATGCTCAAGCACAAAGGCCAGATAATCATTGGTATGAGCTTGATCAGCAGAAAGAGGGAACACAGATTTGATGTTGGAATATAGACTGTTAAACCTGCAGCATGATTGTTGTAAAGCTTCACAAATGGAGACAGCTGAAGATAGAAAGAGGATAGAAGCAGATTCCAAAATCAGTGTGGAAACTATAAATCAATGAGACTCAACAGAATAAATAAATGAGAGATGTATACCCATCAAAACATGATGTAGTTTGTGAGGATCATTCAGGTCCAAATCAATCTAACACATATGTGAAGCCAAGGTCACAATGAACAACATTTAAGATACCTGGACAAAGAATGGCCTGAGGATGTCAAAAATGGAGAGCTATTAAACATGATTAAAAAGTGCATGAGAGATGGCAGAACAGCACCAGGCAGGCTGTGATCACATGAGACCACTTACAATCTGAAGAACAATGGCAGAGCAACCATGAGTTATCCACACACTGTCATCACAAGAGAGAACTTACAGCCTGAAGAGCAGCAATGGCAAGGCAACCATGAGACTCCAGCACACTGCCATCACATGAGATCACTTACCCTCTGAAGAGTAGCAATGGCAAGGCAACCATGAGACTCCAGCACACTGCCATCACATCAGACCACTTACAGTCTGAAGAGCAGCAATGACAAGGCAACCATGAGACTCCAGCACACTGCCATCACATGAGATCACTTACATCCTGAAGAGCAGCAATGGCAAGGCAACCATGAGACTCCAGCACACTGCCATCACATGAGATCACTTACAAGCTGAAGGGCAGCAATGGCAAGGCAACCATGAGACTCCAGCACACTGCCATCACATGAGATCACTTACACCCTGGAGGGCAGCAATGACAAGGCAACCATGAGACTCCAGCACACTGCCATCACATGAGATCACTTACACCCTGGAGGGCAGCAATGACAAGGCAACCATGAGACTCCAGCACACTGCCATCACATGAGATCACTTACATCCTGAAGAGCAGCAATGGCAAGGCAACCATGAGACTCCAGCACACTGCCATCAAATGAGATCACTTACATCCTGAAGAGCAGCAATGGCAAGGCAACCATGAGACTCCAGCACACTGCCATCACATGAGATCACTTACCCTCTGAAGAGCAGCAATGGCAAGGCAACCATGAGACTCCAGCACACTGCCATCACATGAGATCACTTACCCTCTGAAGAGCAGCAATGGCAAGGCAACCATGAGACTCCAGCACACTGCCATCACATAAGATCACTTACCCTCTGAAGAGCAGCAATGGCAAGGCAACCATGAGACTCCAGCACACTGCCATCACATGAGATCACTTACCCTCTGAAGAGTAGCAATGGCAAGGCAACCATGAGACTCCAGCACACTGCCATCACATGAGACCACTTACAGTCTGAAGAGCAGCAATGACAAGGCAACCATGAGACTCCAGCACACTGCCATCACATGAGATCACTTACCCTCTGAAGAGCAGCAATGGCAAGGCAACCATGAGACTCCAGCACACTGCCATCACATGAGATCACTTACAGTCTGAAGAGCAGCAATGGCAAGGCAACCATGAGACTCCAGCACACTGCCATCACATGAGATCACTTACATCCTGAAGAGCAGCAATGGCAAGGCAACCATGAGACTCCAGCACACTGCCATCACATGAGATCACTTACAAGCTGAAGGGCAGCAATGGCAAGGCAACCATGAGACTCCAGCACACTGCCATCACATGAGATCACTTACACCCTGGAGGGCAGCAATGACAAGGCAACCATGAGACTCCAGCACACTGCCATCACATGAGATCACTTACACCCTGGAGGGCAGCAATGACAAGGCAACCATGAGACTCCAGCACACTGCCATCACATGAGATCACTTACATCCTGAAGAGCAGCAATGGCAAGGCAACCATGAGACTCCAGCACACTGCCATCAAATGAGATCACTTACATCCTGAAGAGCAGCAATGGCAAGGCAACCATGAGACTCCAGCACACTGCCATCACATGAGATCACTTACCCTCTGAAGAGCAGCAATGGCAAGGCAACCATGAGACTCCAGCACACTGCCATCACATGAGATCACTTACCCTCTGAAGAGCAGCAATGGCAAGGCAACCATGAGACTCCAGCACACTGCCATCACATAAGATCACTTACCCTCTGAAGAGCAGCAATGGCAAGGCAACCATGAGACTCCAGCACACTGCCATCACATGAGATCACTTACCCTCTGAAGAGTAGCAATGGCAAGGCAACCATGAGACTCCAGCACACTGCCATCACATGAGACCACTTACAGTCTGAAGAGCAGCAATGACAAGGCAACCATGAGACTCCAGCACACTGCCATCACATGAGATCACTTACCCTCTGAAGAGCAGCAATGGCAAGGCAACCATGAGACTCCAGCACACTGCCATCACATGAGATCACTTACAGTCTGAAGAGCAGCAATGGCAAGGCAACCATGAGACTCCAGCACACTGCCATCACATGAGATCACTTACATCCTGAAGAGCAGCAATGGCAAGGAAACCATGAGACTCCAGCACACTGCCATCACATGAGATCACTTACAAGCTGAAGAGCAGCAATGGCAAGGCAACCATGAGACTCCAGCACACTGCCATCACATGAGATCACTTACAAGCTGAAGGGCAGCAATGGCAAGGCAACCATGAGACTCCAGCACACTGCCATCACATGAGATCACTTACAAGCTGAAGAGCAGCAATGGCAAGGCAACCATGAGACTCCAGCACACTGCCATCACATGAGATCACTTACCCTCTGAAGAGCAGCAATGGCAAGGCAACCATGAGACTCCAGCACACTGCCATCACATGAGATCACTTACCCTCTGAAGAGCAGCAATGGCAAGGCAACCATGAGACTCCAGCACACTGCCATCACATGAGATCACTTACAAGCTGAAGAGCAGCAATGGCAAGGCAACCATGAGACTCCAGCACACTGCCATCACATGAGATCACTTACAAGCTGAAGAGCAGCAATGGCAAGGCAACCATGAGACTCCAGCACACTGCCATCACATCAGATCACTTACACCCTGGAGGGCAGCAATGGCAAGGCAACCATGAGACTCCAGCACACTGCCATCACATCAGATCACTTACACCCTGGAGGGCAGCAATGGCAAGGCAACCATGAGACTCCAGCACACTGCCATCACATCAGATCACTTACAGTCTGAAGAGCAGCAATGGCAAGGCAACCATGAGACTCCAGCACACCACCATCACATGAGATCACTTACAAGCTGAAGAGCAGCAATGGCAAGGCAACCATGAGACTCCAGCACACCACCATCACATGAGATCACTTACAGCCTGAAGAGCAGCAATGGCAAGGCAACCATGAGACTCCAGCACACTGCCATCACATGAGATCACTTACATCCTGAAGAGCAGCAATGGCAAGGCAACCATGAGACTCCAGCACACTGCCATCACATGAGATCACTTACATCCTGAAGAGCAGCAATGGCAAGGCAACCATGAGACTCCAGCACACTGCCATCACATGAGATCACTTACAAGCTGAAGAGCAGCAATGGCAAGGCAACCATGAGACTCCAGCACAATGCCATCACATGAGATCACTTACACACTGGAGGGCAGCAATGACAAGGCAACCATGAGACTCCAGCACACCACCATCACATGAGATCACTTACACCCTGGAGGGCAGCAATGGCAAGGCAACCATGAGACTCCAGCACACTGCCATCACATGAGATCACTTACATCCTGAAGAGCAGCAATGGCAAGGCAACCATGAGACTCCAGCACACTGCCATCACATGAGATCACTTACAAGCTGAAGAGCAGCAATGGCAGGGCAACCATGAGACTCCAGCACACTGCCATCACATGAGATCACTTACATCCTGAAGAGCAGCAATGGCAAGGCAACCATGAGACTCCAGCACACTGCCATCACATGAGATCACTTACAGTCTGAAGAGCAGCAATGGCAAGGCAACCATGAGACTCCAGCACACTGCCATCACATGAGATCACTTACACCCTGGAGGGCAGCAATGGCAGGGCAACCATGAGACTCCAGCACACTGCCATCACATGAGATCACTTACAAGCTGAAGGGCAGCAATGGCAAGGCAACCATGAGACTCCAGCACACTGCCATCACATGAGATCACTTACATCCTGAAGAGCAGCAATGGCAAGGCAACCATGAGACTCCAGCACAATGCCATCACATGAGATCACTTACACCCTGGAGGGCAGCAATGACAAGGCAACCATGAGAACTCCAGCACACTGCCATCACATGAGATCACTTACCCACTGAAGAGCAGCAATGGCAAGGCAACCATGAGACTCCAGCACAATGCCATCACATGAGATCACTTACACCCTGGAGGGCAGCAATGACAAGGCAACCATGAGACTCCAGCACACTGCCATCACATGAGATCACTTACAAGCTGAAGAGCAGCAATGGCAAGGCAACCATGAGACTCCAGCACACTGCCATCACATGAGATCACTTACCCTCTGAAGAGCAGCAATGGCAAGGCAACCATGAGACTCCAGCACACTGCCATCACATGAGATCACTTACAAGCTGAAGAGCAGCAATGGCAAGGCAACCATAAGTCTTCAGCACACCATTGTCCTATGAGGTCACTTACAGGCTGAAAAGCAACAGTGGCATAAAAACCATGTGACTCCAGCACATTGTAATCAAACAAGATCACTTACCACCTGTAGAGCAGCAGTGGAAGACATGCCATGAGGCATCAGCCACACAACACAAACTTTGTGTACATACCCATAGATGTGGAAAGTAGCCAATGCATGATTCAACAATGGTTCTTCCGTCCCTCCCAAACCTTGTCCTGCAGCATGTGAGGTAATGTTCCATTTCATTACCTGACACTTACCTCTTCACTGCCATTTCCACACTAATCATTAGATTTTCCCTCTGTACAGCCACTAGCATATGTCTTAGTACATCCTCATCCAATGCATTTGCTGTTTCTATTATCAAGGCACTGCAGCTTGCACCAGGTTCGTGCATATCTGACCCACACCAATCAACCAAATTTAATGTAAGCATGGATGAATCTTACTTTCCAACCTGACATATTTTGGTGAACTCTCCTTTATTACATTCCAGTATTCATCCTTAAAAATCTTCTCTGCCTCTTCATTGATATCCTCCAAGGTCGGAGTAGCATTTGCTTCAGATTCGTCTTCCAAATCCATCTGAACATCCAGTTTGAACTGGTCATACTTCGTGAAAACTGCAATCACAGGCACTGTGTATCACACATGTATCAGGATCAACGTGTGACCTCGCAATTCAGACATACCATTTTTATCTGAACAAACAGCGTCAAATGAATTTCATGTCCAAGGCCGGACGAGCACTTTCCATTGGAATGCAATACCTAGAAATGGCTCGTGAGCTCGCCAATCTCATGAGTTAGCAATAACACTTGTAACACACCAGATAGCATGCAGCCTGTCCCGCAATCGGCGCTCAGTCACCTTTCTGTGCACAAAATCCTGGACTGTTCGTAGCTCGTCCTCATTGCCAGCCTCAAAACCACAAGAGTCATGGAAAATATAACCCTCGTGATTCGTGAATATGAGCTCGTCCTCGATATTGTGATTGCCACGCTAATCGTGTCATAGTCAAAAAATCCCGATCACCGACAGACTGTTGACTGACCTCAATAGTAGGGTCGAGGTGAACCTAATCAAATGATAAGGTCGGGAGCGTTCAAAACTAGGCAAGACACTACCTCTTCACGGCGACCTCCGCTAACCCTGTAAATCTTCGGGCTCTCCGTTGTTTCGCAGACTCTTTGTAAGATGGATGTCTTCCCTGCATTTGCCCTACCGATGATGAGGACTCGAAACTTGAGACGCCGGACGGCATCACGCAGTGGCTTGTCACTCATGATTTCTGATGGCAGATGGTCAACGTCAATGCAAAAGCGAGTGGGTAGAGGATAGGTCTGGTGGAAGGGCGACAAACAGCTTATCGCAGCGTCAATTTCGTTCCCCGATCGGACCGATACGGCAGAAATGGCTGTCTTCTGCCTTGAGGGCCGGGGCTAGATCGTTCTAGAAGAAGATATATATCGCCTGATATGGGCAATGTCGATGTCGAGGCTTGTGTGCGCGTGGACAGTACACCCACTGTTGAATCAGGGCAAGCCGTTTTCAGAAACATGGAGGGAAAGGAGAATCGTTACTGTGTCTGACACACGTTTCTTCGCTACTTTGGTTGTGGCTCGAGACGCAGTGCAGTGCGGCAAGGTAAAATCGGATCACATATATTCGTGTATGCTTTGGCCGTATAGAATACCACGACAATGAGGAAGCGGCTAGGAGAGGCGAGCGTGCGTGACAATGTAGGTGTCGAACGAAAATCAAGAGCAGCACAAAGAATGGTTATGTCAAGTTGTCCTTGTCGAAAGAGCGGTAGTGTGGACCGTGCAAGCGTACTACATAAGATACGCTGACCCTCTGGGCAACCCAGGACGTGGAATAGCACGGGTTGTTGATTGATACAAATACGGCGTTATGTAAACAATTCCCAGGTTAGCAAAACAAGGGAGTCTCGTGGACAGACAATGACAACACAGCTCCTGGATGATACCAGGGACGCCGAAACGACCACAGATTGGACCCACCCAATGCCCGAAACCTATCAGCATCCTCGGCACAGGTCCCAAATCCACCAGGACCCATTCCTCTGAGGCACGCATTCATCCAACTTTGAAGGAGCGATTGCATTTCGTCGAGTCCTTAGTTTGCTCAGAGGAGACTGCGAGACTTCCCCTTCTGAGCCTTATGCATCAATGTATCCACCACTACTTCACAACACTGAACACTGCATGTGATCCACTCGGTGCCGAGGTCATACCATTCTCATCTTCCCTGCTCCCAACTCACCTCGCCCATGTGTGGGATTGCCCACTGTGGGCTTCACCACCAAGAACATGAATGCGAACGACTGTTTATACCAGTAGGTCACCTTCAGCAGGTGACTGTTTATGTTCTCGTTATATAGTAACCCAAACATTGAACAGGGTCATCACCCACTCGTCTATCTGGTCGCGTGCAAAGAGTCTTTCTCCTGTCAAGACCCAGATGACCACCTCCATAAACATGCTCCTGAGATGGGGCATCTACACCTCATGATGAAACTCTCCTCCTTGTACTTCTTGATGATTGTGAGGCTCATTGAAAAAGTCAAGGTCGGTCAGCCAGATATCAACAGGTTGCTCCGTAAAATGTGAAGCCAGCAACTGTGCAAGGAATCTGCATGCACAGATGAGTCCCATCCTGCAACTGCCTGATATTTATCATCACAACTATTGTCTGCCCTTCCACGATGAATGGACTACCACCAACGTGGGTCCTGTACTGGTCAGATTCAAGTATTCCTGAGGGTCGTTCATCGATTCCCTCCTCCGAGCATGGATGATGCTGAATCTCATATCCAGGCTATCATTCTTGTCAGTGATTGTTATATGTCTCACCCATTTTCTCCTGCCACAAAGTGGGCACAAGAGGACCAGAGCACCATAGCATTTTTATTTGTGGGACGTCTGGGTAATGTTGGTATGCCCAGAGTGTGGTTGACTTGGTTCTCGTTCTCATTCTGCATACATGCAGGTCCATGATCTTTTTTGTCGTTTATGTCCTTGCCTTGGTACGACGCTCCGGATCCACAGCCAATCCATCCACTCTTTCCCCACTGAGCTCCAACACAACGATTGGCCTTTCTATTCTTGGGCCTTCTTTGCTTTGGCGTAATTGTGATTGCAGAGCTGTTGCAAGGGTACAGGAGGGTGAACGAATGATAGGGGGCACGGGAATGGCGAAGGAAATGAGAGATGCTATCAGGGATGTGAGGGCGAGGTATGTATAGAAGGGAGAGAATACAAAAGACTGCCTGGGCGAGGCAGAGTAAATGAGCGCGAACAGACTTACAACCCACCCCATGTGAGGACAACAGGCACAAAAGTGAACTGGGGCCAGCTCCTCCTCAGATTACGACCAGGACCACTATCGCAATAAATGGTGTTATCTTCATTGGAGGCCCTGCTGGGTATTGGGTTGTGTGGGTTAGATGGAATGGTGAGTCCCTGCAGGAGCAGGGGTGTGCAGGAGATGTGGTCCATGATGTCGTGTATGAAGAATGCCTAGAGTGTGGCGGAAGGACAGAGCATCTTGATGGCGCCACAAGTATGTAGCTCACAGGGGCTATACCATATGTTATCAAATATGTTTATTCACCAGCTCGTGAGTGCCTTTATTTTACCATCGGAGCACAGCATGTCATTGTATTGATATCCAGGGGATGGTTATCGAGATACTTCATGTATTGCTTGTCTTAAAACAGGATTTTATTGACTTGGGAACTGGCCATGTGCAGTAACAGCGACATTTGCATAAGTAACAGACACATACAGCATAATGCTTACTGCATGTTTACAAGGGCACTGTGCTGGGTTGAACACAAGGTTTGTGTGTCTTATTCGTGTTGTATAGGACAGGGAGCCCCTTGCATATGGCATGCGTGTCAAGGAGGTGACTGTCATCCAGGATGGCCCTGTCTTCTGTTATGTACTAACATTGCAAATTCGAGGTAGGGTAGGTAACCCTGTTCGTTTTAGATCTAGACTACCGGCAAACATTGGCATTGTTAACCTTGCTTGGTGACTCGATGTAGACTCAGATAGCCAACAGTATGTGGCATATGAATTTGCAACATGCTCTTGACCGGAACCAATAAGGCGTGTGACAACTACAATACCAATCGTGGTCATCATCGGTGGGGGGAGGGGAGGAAATGGGGAAATGGTAGGTATATACCAATAAAAAAGAATAATAAAATCCCAGTCTACATCTACAGACTATGGCGCTGCATCTGTAACATTAAACAAACAAAATAAAACAGGTTATTGCGCGACTTTTGCAGTACTGCTTCTGCACAACTTTTTATACTACCCCTGCATAATTTTTAACATAGCCACTTTGGACCACTTTGCACTAGATAGGAGGGCAGATAAACATAGATAAACATAGACAGGACATGAACACAGATCGTCAGCACCCTCCCCAGTCATCCTGCCCAATCCACGAGGCCATGATGCCCCACAGGGCCCACTCGAATGCTCGACCCCCTCCCCCGCCCCATGGCGGTGGCAGGATTGCCCCTTCAGGAAATTCCCATGGCACTGCCACTGCCAATTTTTCGAACGAAGTGTCACCTACGAGGGCATATGTGACTGCATTCTGCACCACAACATCACTGGCCTAGCGAATTTGGGCCTGTTTCCTGGCAAAATACCCATTATTACATGGGTTATGTACAGTGGCTAGTAGTAGCATTGAAACGAGTCCTGAGGAATGGGTGAGGGGTGTGTGTAGCCCTGACTCACCCAACGCGCTCGCTCCCCGTGCACGTGCCCTGCTTAGTCAGCGGCTGTGCGGGCATTTGCAGTGGCTGTGAGAACAGCCACCTGCAAACTTTCTGCGCAGTACTGCAAAAGTCGCACAATCACCTGTTTTATTTTGTTTGTTTAATGTTACAGATGCAGCGTCATAACAGACACCGATATGCTATACACTAAGTTACCATGCCGAGGCTGGAAAATGATCAATTGTGTGGACTATCGAAACACTCCATGCACTTTCCCAAATACAATGTGCTACCCTTGTTGCAACTCCGTTTGTAAATCGACATCTATCCAAGAAAATATATGATATATCAACTGATAATAAGGTTGCTGTCATCCTTTCTTACGGTTAAAAAAGAAGCGACACTACAAAGACTGCACAGCACCCTGTCAAAAAAAAGTGCCCTATTATTGTGAATCCTAGAGATAATTTTTTTATCCACAAAAAAGCCCTCACACCCATCTGTCCACAGCAAAAATTGCAGCAGCAGCTCACTCCCTATGCACCACTGGAACTCCAGTTTTAGTTTACTCTCTGCCCATGACCCAAATGGACCTCATGTATGTGTTGCAAGAAATTGTGCCGCTGTACCCAACATCCACAGTTTGGCCAGCGACAAGTGATCTCGACATCACGCGCCATGTTCCTGATGGCATGGAAATCCCTGAAATGTTCGGGCACTGAACCACAGGTGATGAACTCCAAACACTCATTTTCATCATCTCGAAGGTAGAGGCACAGCTGGAGTGCACAATTACTATACCAGTTCTTTCAAAGATGTCAACATTCACCAATTATACATGGCTCCGAAGACACATACTGTTGAGTTGTTTGTCATTTGAAGCAGCTCTATGATGTTGGCTAAAGCATAGGAGACACTGCTACATGTCAGCCAGAGCAAGTACCTGACCATGTGGTCAACACACCTGGTTTCTGTGTCACTGCCATGTTCGTGAGTTCCATCATCTAGGAAGGACATGTCCATCAGGTTAGCAGGGGAGGGGGGGGGACAGTGGTGGACTTCAATATCCAGGAAATAGACATGTCATTTTTCTCTTATAGCTACCACACAATGCATGGAGTAGATTGGGGGCAGGTCAGGGATAGGCGAGTCGGCACAATGAAGGTTGAATGGGATTGCCCACCTAAGTCAGGTTATCATTGGCATCGCCGGCAGGCTACATATAATAATGTCATAAATATATCCAACATTGTGTCATATTCCGAGAGCGGGCTTAGCGCAAGAGTGCAAAAGCCCTCCAGCTGGATCAGTGGAGGCACCTTGATGTTATGCAACCAGCTGTTGGACAAGGCAAAACATCACCTCCATATCTTCTGGTTGGTGAATGGGTTGCACTGGTAGTACTAGTACACAGCCCAATGAGACAGATTCATTGTGATTGAGGTATGAACCAAACAAACAAACCTTTGAATTATTAGAAATGAATCAGAACAGCGGCAAAATGACAGGTATTCCCAGGCAAGTGGCGTTCAGGGAAGACGTTAGAGGCCCTCCCCCCTATGGCCACTAAAAAAAGGCATTCGAATTAACAGGCCAGCTGCCAAGTTACATCTGGAGGCCACCGATGATATGTATCACCGATCATCGATCATCTCCCCCACCACAGACAGCTACATAATAACAGAAAAGGACATACTCATAACAAACATGGAAGGTCCATCACTCCTTCCATCTGAAGCGACACTACCTGGTCTCCCTGAGCCTGCAGGGCTGCAGAAATCGGAATCATCATGCCTGGCATCATGGATGCCACACACTTAAGAGGGGGCAGTCACTGGTGATCTGGCACATAAACTTTTCAATAGAATGGCTGAAAATGTCACGAAGCTCACCCTAACTTACCTTCTTACCTGGAAAAAAAAATAAACAACGATGGCGTGGAATGATTTCTGAGAACAGGGAGGGGTCTGGCTATTGGATTCTTCGGTTGTGACTTGTGACACAGATGATAGCCGGGAATACCTGAGCAGGCTGCTGTTACATCAGGCATTTCACATCTAGGGTCAGCAATGCTTGGAACAGTGCAGTAGGGAACAGTATTGTGGTAAGTCCAACAAAATAAGTAAGTACTGAGGTAATACATCAAATATCTTCCTCAGCAGTGCAGCATGAAAAGTTACACTTACTAGCGTTTCCGTGAGGTGATTTAAGCTAAACCAAGCCAGAACAATGGACCAATTGAGCCTGACTTTGATAGGTTGAAGCATAATGAAGCGAGTCGGGAAGAGGTCAGTGTCCATTGATGTATGCTCCTATGGTCCTGCCCAATCAGAGCACAGCCCCAATGAAGTATATCATCTGTGGCAGAGTGGAATGGAAGATTGTCATGAAAAGACGTTTGATACCTTCCTTGCACTTCTTGGCTATTATCACAGGGCTATTCTGTGTGTGCTGAAGTCAGTTAACCTGATAATAATGGCATTGCCAGATGGGGCATAGTCAGCCTAGTGCCTGCTGTGCTCTCCTTTCTCATCCTGTATAATGCAGATCCATGATCTTCTTTGTCGCCTCCAACCTTGCCTTGAGCTCCAGGTCCATCCAACCCATCCCCACTCTCCTGGGTGTTGATATTAAGGACCAAGGCAGACCGTGGAACGACAAAATAAAAAACCGGCCCTAGAAAGTAGGCAAGAAGGCAGTTACAAAAGCGAACCAGAGTGTCGTACGAGCAACGACAACAAGGACAGGGTTTCTGTGTTAGACATTGTGACGACAGGGTCAACAACCACTTGTCAGTCGCGTCACGTGCGAATAATCCCTCCTTTCGACTTCCAATCCTGAAGACCACATTCATAAACACGCTCAGTGCTAGGGATTTTCTCACAGACACACTTCCAAGACAGGTATATCCATACCCCATGCTGACCCTTCCTTGCATTTCTCAGGGTCACCAGGTTCTTTGAAGAAGCCAAGGTTAATCAACCAGATATCGACGGCGAGCATGACCTCCATCCCATCCCATCCCATCCCATAGACGCCCAATGTACATCATCACGATCATGGTCTACTTTTTACCACAGCGAACGTAGATGCTGTGCTCGTCAGATTCCAGAAATCCTGGCAGCCATTCATCAATTCTCTTTGAGGCCGGGAAGATTTTCAACATTGTCTTCACACTGCTACTCTTGTACGTGGCTGTTATATGTATATCATGCCCGGGATGTCATGTATGATGAAGGTGATCTGGAGAATGGTGGGGGGAAAAAATCATCGTGATGGTACTGCAAGCGTGTAGTCGCAGGCACCGAGTGCCAGTAAAAGGGGGAGGGGCATAGAATCTTACATTACTAAGCAAGTTTATTCCCCGTACTTTTATTATACTAGCATATGGTGTTTGTATGAGGTATCTAGTGGATGGTTGTCGACATACCTTGTACAGTATTGTTTGTTATCCGGACGACATTTTGTTCGCCCGAGGCACTTGAATATGAATAACATCCGAGGCCAAGTAATATTTAGGTCTATAAACAAAGCCGAGCTGGGTTGAAACTGGGTGTAAATTATCTCCACGACTTGGTAGAGAGCGATCTGCCGATCGAACTACCATACCTACTGACCGTAGTTAGGTGACCAGACTGTTGCGCTGCCTCATAGATTATTGGCATGGGCCCATCTTCAGACACCTCCAAGTAAATGGTTCGAGTATGCGAAGTGAAAGAGTCCGGTGAACAGGTGAAGATAAGTCACCAGGTAACACTGGCAGGACTACTCCTGGATAACATCCTCGGTACCGAGTGACTTCGTTGTCGGTACCCTTAGCCCTATTATCTAGGTGGGTACCAACCCCGTCAACATTCTCGGATGCACGCCTCACTCCCAAATCTTCTGAGATGCACTTTGGTTGGTCCATTCCGGTGACCTCTTTTGCACCACCCCATCCCTCCCCTTGCTGTCGAGCTCCTAACATGGCTGCTCTGAAGAATGACCATGACAATGTGCAAGGGGTTCTCTCACAGATACGGCCCCAATACATTTATACATGATGTTGAAACTACATTCTTTGCAGGAGGTGTGGTTGGCTTGGTCTGTGTCGTTTTTCCCCCATCTCATCATACACCCAGGACCGCGTTTTTTTTTTAAATTTCCTCTATCCTGGCCTTCGTATGGCACTCCGGATCCACTGTCGATCAATTCACTAAACGGCAATGCAACGACTTGTAACGACTAGCCGCAGTTTTGGTGCAATTGTGCAGACGCTGCAGGGAAACGGGAGGGTCAATGCGGTAACAGGGGATACAAAGCCAGCAGCAAGGAAAACAGGGGATGGAGGGAATGGACGAGAGGGGGAGAGAACGCAAAGGATGGACCTGATGAGGCAGAGCGATTGACTGCGAAAAAAGACAAGAAATGCACTTGTGAATTCGATGATGGGCATGAAAACGAACTGGACCTTGCTTGTTGGACATACAACCACGATGTATCTTCATTGGACTTTGTGTGAGATGGAGTAGTGAGTGGCTAGCCATCGAATGAGCTGGGACAGGAGAAGTGGTATACTCGGGTTGTGGCTCGTAATGTCATGTATGAAGAAGGTAGCCTGGAGAACGGCGAGGGAAGAGGTCATCATGATGGCACTGTGGGCATGTATGTCTCGGGGGCTATGCTATACATTGCCAAGCACCCTTATTCACCACCTCGTGAATACTTTTTTTATACCATCAGAGCATGGCATGACATTGTATACTCAGGGAACGGTTGTCGAGATACCTTGTATAGTACATCGTTTATTGTTTTTCTTATTCAAGGGGGATTTTATTGACTCGGGAAATAGCCGAGTGCGGCGGCATGCATGTCTATAGGACAGAGCCCCATACACGTAGCACGCTGTCAACGAGGTGGCTGCCCGGCGCCTGCGATGTCACCGGCTTCTAGTATGAAATAGGTTTAGATCCAGACTGCAGGCAAACACTAGGACATTTATTAACCTTGCTTGGTGACTCGAGATTGGCCGCCAAGTTGGTGGTGTACCGATGCTGATGGGGACTAATGTGGCGCGTGAAAACCTACCAACCATAGCCATCGTGAAGGGGGGGGAGGGGGACGGGTGGGGGTAGGGGACGTTAGGTATATCCCAATAAAAAAAGAGGGGAATCATAGTTTATATCTTCACTCACTGATATTCTATACACACTAACACCATTCTGGGGCTCAAGTGCTCAAGATTGGTTAATTTTTGCGGTCTATCGGAAACCGTGTCCACTAAGTCCACACATTTTCCGAGCCGCAGTCAGTAACCCCTATTGCAACTGTGCTCCAATCGTGAATTGATGGATCTGTCTATCCAGGAAAATATATACTGTAGTCAATCGATAACAAGGCCACTTCGATCTGTCCTTTTTAGTCACATGGAGTAACGGTTCGGTGTTCATCGATTAATACAACACTGCACAGCACCCTTGTCAAAAAAAAAAACAAAAAAAACAAGACCTGCATGTATTCTTCTATTTTCTCAGACTCTATTGTATGTATTAAAACATGCATTTTTGTTCGCGCCATGGCCCTCCCCCGCATCCGTCTATATGGCATTACCATGTAGTCTGAGTGCACAGGGAACTTCTGCAGCAGCGGCTCGCTCCCAAGAGTTACCGGTACTTCAGTTTTGGTTTGCTCTCCGCCCATGGCCCAAGTGGATCTCACGGACGTGGCGCATGAAGTTGTGCCGCTTCACCAGAGACCCACAATCTTGCCAACCGCAAGTGATCTCAACGTTACGCGCCATGCCCTTGACACCATGGACAGCGCTGAAATGTCCGGGCGCGGTCCCGCATGTGATGAAATCCAAGCATTCATTTCCATCACCCAGATCGTACAAGCAAAGCTGAGGTGGGCAATCGTTATACCGGTTCGTTTGAAAATGTCAACATTCACCCGATATTCGCAGCTCCAATGACACGTACAATTGGATTGTGATTATTTGCCGAAGTTTGGGGGGGACCGAGGGCACCGACCCAAGGGTAGGACACACTACATCACCACGTCAGCTAGAAAAAGTACTGCACCGTGCAGGCAACGCACCTGGTTTCTGGACCATCATGTTTTCCGTCGTCTAGGGAGGACATGGCCTGCACGTTGACTGGAAGACAGGACGGCGGACTTCAACGACCAGGAATTAAGCGAGCTATCTTCTCTTATATCCACTACACCACTGAAATTTTGGGGCATTGGAGGGCGGGGTGATAGGTAGTTTGGTGCGCGAGGGTTGAATAAGATTTCCAATCCTAGCCACACTATTGCTAGTGACTAATATGTCTATCGTGTTGGGACTTATCGTGAGAGTGCAAGACCCATGCAGTGCCATGATGTTATACAACCAGCAGGCAGGCAGGATCGATCTCATCGAGCTACGGGCTATAAAAAAAGAGGTTTGAGTTCGAAATGAATGCAAACACTAGACGTTGGCGACGACATCCTCCATCATGTAGCCGCGTTCAAAGTAGCCTAATGACAAGCCTGCCACGAGACACCAAAAAAAAGGACCTCGAATCAACAGGTCAGTCACCAGGCTACATTCCGAGGCCGCCGACCTAGCCGAGCATCCCTCCTACCATGGAAAGTGGCTGCATGACAATAACTAAGGGTAAACTTACGATAGACATGGAACGTCTATTACTCATTCCATCTGAATCCTGACCCTGGGTTTTCCTGCGAGTGCACAGCTGCAGAACATGGGACCATCATGCCTGGTATCGCCGGATGCTGAATGCTTATGAGGCCCGCCACTGGTGGTGATTCCCTGCGACTGCACAGCTGCAGAAAATGGAGCCATCATGCCTGGTTTCACTAGATGCCGTACGCTTATGAGGCCCAGCCACTGGTGGTGAGTCGCATAAGTGTCTTAACAGAACGATTGAGCAAATCGCGAAGGTTACCCCAGCCTACCTTCTATATTGACATCATCCTGGAACAAGGTGAACAACGTAAGCATCAAATCTCGAATGATCCATTACGGGGAACTGGGAGTGGTCCGAGTACCAGATTCCTCGGTTGCGACGCAGATATGATGGCAAGGGGAGTTCGACATCTATTAGGGTCAGTAGGTCGTGGAAGCTGTCACAAGGAGCACAGCCATTAAGAACAGAACCATTACCTGACAACGCAACAGGATAGTCATTCTCGGCCTCCGCTTCTGACAGGTCGCTCACAGCAAGCTGCAGCCTTAGACTCCTCATATATTGTCACTGCTCTAATCGCGTGCGAATAATTTTCTCTTGCTCTTCGACCGTTGCAGGGTGATTCAAGGATCTAGATGTCAGTTAGACAGGTATGAACATAATAATCTAGGCAGGAACTGGCAAACGGATGGATCTTACTCCAGATGTAGATTATGACATTTGGAGTCTACCTGTCTCTGAAGAACGAATCGCCGTCAATATGGGTCCAGGTGTAAGATGAATACGTAAGAGTTGTTCATCAATCCTCCCCCTACAAACGGGCAGTACTTGATATTACTACACTTGCCGCATCTCCTCGATACTATTAGTGTCAAGCAATACACGGGCTTACGCTCCATGAGGATATTGATTGTCCCTTGAGAGTATGAGTCTCGAAGAATCCACTCGGGGAACTGAAATGTGACCCATTTGATGCGAAGCGCGTTGCCCTGCACCTTGCCAGGCGCATGTTTGGCTCTTTGGAGGGCTCGAGTATCGTAAAACACAGCGTCCCCACAGATCGGTGCTGGAAATTGGATCAAATACGATAAAATTTAGGGAGACCTATCACGCACGTGTACGACCCTGTTACCATGGGAAGGCTCGACAGTAATGATAAAAAAGCGAGAAACAACGGATCCGGAGTAGTGGTCACGCCACATGGCGGAAAAGAAACTTCCTGAAAGATCTAGATCTCGGTGAGATTGTATGCAGGCGATCGCAGCAATCTCCAACGCATCACATGATCAGGTAATTTTCTGAGTCCCTCAGTCAGTTCGCCTAAGTAGTGTCCTCATAGGCGTCACCGGTCAATGTCAATATGTGAGCAACCGAGGGCAAAGCTAGACTGCAGGCCTGGATATTTCCGCAGGAAGACGTTCACTGCGAAGGTTGTTGTTAATCGTGTATTTCCGCTCAGGTTCAATGACTATTTGAGCACCAAGCGACATGCACTCAAGTTCATAAATGCTATGAGCGGAACAAGTTTCTGACCTATTTACGCAGGAGCACGACGAGATGCACTGGGAGGAAATGGTCCTTCGACGGTGTGACCCACACATCTCGCGGCAATCTGATTCCTTCGCACCAGAGAATTTTGTGTCGTCGTACATACCGCCCATCCTAAGTGTATCGCGATAATATAACAAGAGGCCTGTACCATTGGAGTGCGGTTGAACTGGCAACGCTGGCCACTCGGAGATGCCAGCGGTACGACGAAGCGTCTTCCGGGTGAATAGGGTGTGATACCTGTTGCTTATATCAATATGGTACTTGCACCTACACGGACGTGGATGTGACAAACGACTAAACGATTATAACTTCCTACCCTTCGAGACTTTCAGGTAGCCCTCCACTTCACAGTCCATCACTGTCTGGAAGATTGTTGATGATAATTACTTCAGATGGAGTACGTGGGCCATCATGGGGCTGAGCAAAAGTTGAAATGCAGATGCCACCGTCGTGTAAACTGCCATTTGTCGAGCCACTCTATTCAACGTGTTTTCCGAGGTCAAGCCCCTCGAGCAGAGAGGCACTCCCACAAACCACTGACATAGTCTGGATACCAGCCTGCCTATGGAGTTGCTTTGCCTCATTAGACGGATCTGGTATCCAGACTACCGGGGCGTTGGTGTACAGCTATACTAGTTGTAGACAGCAGTTGCAAATACTGCCGTAGAGCATGTTATTAGGTAAAAGCTTCGCAGGGCCACGTGAGTCGATGCGGGCAGTTTGTGACTCGACGAGCTAAACTACGAGAATGCAAAAAGCAAAGGAGACCGGTGTAGAAGGATAATGCCAGGGAAGCGCTGGCAAGACAAATACGGTTGCTGGGAGACCCGGTGACCGATTCACCCACAAGAGCAGACTCACTCAATGAAAGACACCCCATCGACACCCCTAGCGCACGTCCTAATCCCAAGTCCACCACCCATTCCTTTAAGACCCACGTTTGCCCGATCCCCTCTATCCCCCCTCCTCAGTTCTATGCGTCAACGTATCCACTACTATCTCATCTTGCGGCGTGATCGTCTCGTCGAGATCACAGCACTCTTAATCCCGCTCTCGACCCATCTTGGCCATGCGCAGGAATATCCAGTGAGAATTTCACCGCCAAGATTGTGAACGCGACACACCGTTTGTACCAGTAGACCTCTTGAGCAGGTGACTACGCAGGATAATGGCCCAGGCATTGAACATGGCCTCCCACTCAGACACAACGACTGTATTAACAGTACGTTATCGGGCACGCCATACGACGTAAGTGAGTGTACGCGCCCTCAGGGGATTACTGTACTCACCTCAGCGTCGTAGACACGATGACTGAGGTATAAGTACATGAGCATCAAGCACATGACCGTTGACTCCAACCCGCCGCCTCAACTGAATACGTGCGAAGAGGGCGAAGAAAGGCAGAGAGTGAAAAGAAAACACGAAAAACATCCGTGACCGAAAGAGGGCGTTTGCATATGAGAGTTCCACGTGCGGAAAGAACCACGCATCAGAGAGGAAACGGAACAACGACCGAAAAGAAAAGTGACCATCGAAAACTGAACCCGAGGAGTCGTTCATCGATTCCCTCTGAGAATGGAAGACGCTCAACATCATCTCCGCACTACTACTCTCATAAGTGGTCATCAATACGTCCCACACCCATTTCATCACATGATTTCTTAGAGCCATCTTATCTATATTCCAAAAACCAAGAAATGGCTTACGACCCTCGTATGCACGACCGCACTCCTCTCACTCACCTGCGTACTCATGTCCCTCTTGTGCGGATGCGTATACATCATCCGATTCGCCACTATGAAAAGCATCCACAAGGCCACGAGTTGGGCACAGGAGACACAGAGAACCACAACACTCATTTTGTTGAACGTCTCGGTAATGTTGGCGTTGCCCAGGATATGGTTGGCTTGGTGCGACTCCCCCCTCTCTCTTCCCCTGCCTCCTTTCTCATTACGCATACACGCAGGTTCATGATATCTTTACCGCCTCTATCCTCGCCTTTGTATGGCACTCTGGTTCCACAGCCGATCCAGTCACACCTTCCCCACTCAGCCCCAACGCAGCAATTGGCCCCCGGGTGCTCATCTCAGCCTTTTTCTTCTTGGGCTTTGTTTATTTTGGCGCGATCGTGAAGACGTTACAGGGGTATGGTAGGGTGAGCGGCACGACGAGGGACACAGAAACGGCGAGGGAAACGGGAGACGCCATCAGGGAAGGGAGGGATGAAGAGAAGGAGCGAGAGGGGGAGAGGACACGAAAGACGGCCCGGGCAAGGCAGAGTAAACGACCGCGAAAAAGACTGGAAACGCACCTCACATGAAGATGATGGACAGCAAGCGAACCAGAGCCAACTTCTCGGACGTACAACCACGGTGGTGGTAATGACGATCGCAGTTCATCCGCTTTGGACGTCCTTCCGGGTCTCGGGTTGCGCGGTCTAGAGAGTCCACCCGCGTCGGATGAGCAGGGACGTGAGCAGGAGCGTACTCGAGATGTGGCTCGTGATGTCGTCTATGAAGAAGAAGGTAGTCTAGAGAGTGGTGAGGGGAGAGAGCATCGTGATGGAACTGCGAGTGTGTAAGTTGCAGGTGCCCCGTTTTGGGAGAAGAGGGAAAGGGGGCATGATAGCAAACGTTACCTAGCACCCATTCGTGAGTACCTTCATTGCACCATCAGGGCACAGCATGGCGTTGTATCGTTGATCAGGCAACGGTAGTACACCACGTATTTTTCTTATTCCAGCTGTATTTTATTCGCTCGAGACACTGGGGTCAAGCAGCGCACCACGGATAACAGACAAGGCCGAGCGTCTGTAAGCCAAACAGAACTGGACGTTAATTATCTCCGCGACTCGGTAGCGACATACATATTCATAATCCGATCGATCCGCTGATCGCACGACCATAGCTACCCCTGTTGCAACATGAATCTCGGAAATGTACATTTTGTGTGACCTCTTAACCATCATCAGGCATCATGCATCAATACATCATGCGGATTCGCATCAAGTCCGAGTGTCTGCAAGAGTAGGCACGATTACAAACTTTCTATCAACTATCCCACTCTACAACGCAATATAATTCAGTACATACATACTCGGTTTTGTTTCCTTCGTCGCCACTTGTGTCCTGAGTGGATTCCGCAAATGTGACGCGTGAAACCTTTCCCATCAACCTCACATCCACAGCTTTTCCATCCACGGAAAATCTTGATGCCACGGACCTTACGCCTAATGCCATTCCGGCACTGTCCCGCATGTAATATCCTCCCAGCACTCATTGCCATTTCGATTGTAATGCAAAAGTCGAAACGGGCAATCATTAAACTGCTTCCTTACCTTTCAAAGACATCGATATTCCTAATAAACGAGGTTTCGCCACTCGGGGTGGCTCGGTAATACCGAGTGTGTTGCGCGAAAACCACAATACCAACGAACGCAAGGCCGACATCAAGGGAGTGAACGTTGGGTGTATACGATAAAGAAGATTTACAGCCACTGATATTCTATACACACTAAATCACCATGTCGGATCTCGCAATTGATCAATTGCGTGGACTATCAAAAAATGTGTCCACTGTCCTTGGTGGTGCACACATTTGCAATTACTAACCCCTGTTGCAGTACACCCAAGAAAACAGTGGTGCTCAAGGTGGCTTTGGAAGCACTCTGGAAGCACTCTGGAAGTGGCAAATTCAAGAGCAATGCCATGATGGAGTTTGAAAATTATGCCTCCCTATTGATGACACCCTCGACAGTCTGCTTGCCTGCAGTCACTCTTATCAAAACCCATGGCTTCATTGAGTGGACAAGCTTGCTGAGGAAGGCCTTCTGTAACTGCAACTACTGGTGGTGGATTGTCCTCACAAGTACCTGGGAGTGGGAGTAAAGGGGAGGGCCCAACATCCAACAAGTAGCCAGTGGCTGACTCCTCAATGGAAAGTACCCAGCCAAAAAACATCAATTGGGATACTCCTCATACTGAAATAGTTGTCCAGTGGCTTCTTAGCCATCCTGCTAACTGCAGGATTCTTTTCAGTGACAAAAACTCAGGCAACTTACCCCCATCATTATCATCTACTTCAACTGAGAGACTGGTGGGCCACAACAAGAAGGAGGTCCAAGCGATGATTGCCCAAGCTGTTTTTGAGGATGACAGTGTCTACAAGGACATGTACACAGTGAGTGCTGCCAAGTTTTGAGTCAGTGTGGGCAACCATCTCAATATGTGAGTCTCTGATCATCTGATAAACCCAGGATTCACTAATGATCATCTAGGCTGAAAGTGAGCTATTGAAAGTGCCATGCATGATTGAAACAGTCAGGGGAAGGCATCATACCTGGCCATCCAAAATTTGCCAATCTTCATGGTATGTTACATGACTGATGTACAAGAATGCAGGGGCTTATGTGTACATACAGATGTCATTCTCAACAGTTTTCCTTGGTATGACAACTTACATTCCATTTGGCAGGGGAACCCATTGTTTGATCCTGAGCCCTTCAACTCTGAGCCAAACAAAAACCATGCAGAGGGCTTCTTAGTGGTTATCCAAAACAAGACACTTGGTATGAAGAATGTTTTGGGTTCTGGGGCTGAGATTGCAGGTGATTGCATGGGTGTGGGGGGGACAGTGGGGGAACTTGAGGAAGCTGAGGAGGACATGCCATCTCAAGCTGGTGGTGAAGTCACTAATGAGGGTGAAGAAGATGGTGGAGCTGGGTTTGATGAGGCAATGCCAGGGTTTGGGGATGAGCAGACTGGTGGTGATGAGTACCCTGATGTCAACATGGACTCCACATCTGTGCAGGGTGACAAGGTATGTTCATGTTCATTCAGAGCAATGTTAATGAAATTTTACTGATAAGTTATTGATAGTTACAATGGCCTTCAATGCCAAGTGACACTCATTTCCCCTCTAGGTTCTCCCTCCTGTGAAGGGGTTGTATGCCCTCATCAGATAGCTGAATTGCCTTCTCTTGGTCTTCACCATATCTTTGCCCTCCTCCTTCATCTGCAAGTATCACCTCTATGACAACATCTGACTCCTCTGGTAGCTCTTCCCAAAAACCTAGCCAGTCCCTCTGGGACTCATCATCAAAGACAAGTTCGATGAAGCCAAGTTTGACACTAACTAAACATGGCAAGTCTCAGTTTCAAGACCAGGTCATCAACTTGAGTCATGAAGCTGAGTTGCTAGTGGCTTCTTCTTCTGGGAAGACTAAACACTATATGATCAAGATGGAATATCTTTGTAGGAAGGAGGAATTGATGAAAGAGCAGGTGGAAATGGCAACTAAGATTGAATTGGAGTTGGAGGCAAAGAAACTCAACATCCAGCTGATGAAGGCCCAAGAAATCACCTTCAACAGTGAGGCAGAGATGCTTTGCCTCAAAATCGAGCTTGCAAAACTCATGAAGGCCGATTTGGACACAACCCCTCCTGCTGCATAGGTTTATCTTGTTGTGGCCAAGTTTTTACCCACACTTCCCCACTGTATCCATCTCCAGCATGTTCCCACTATGTACTCATGTCATATTCATGTTTCTGCTATTCTCTCACAAGATGTACATATGGTGAATGTATTTTTTTCATCTTGCTAATACTACCATCTCCCACAACTGCCATTAATGGGTTTGTTCCTGTCCAAGATGTTGAAACAACTGATCCAATAGCTTTGCTCAAAATTGCTGACCAATAGTCTCCACAGCCTCCACTGCAGCAATTCTGTCCCCATCATCAAGGCTGCTTCCTTCGTTGACCACCCAGTCAGTTGTGTAGGATGATGCAACAAAGCACCCAGTAAATTGTGACTTTCATATCATTCTCTGTCCAGATTTTCAGGCACACTTCACAGAGGCTTTGAAAGCGCCCTTTCAAGGTGGCAAATGCATGTTCAACTCATATGTGGATCTTCCAAAGCTGTTAGCCCATGTACTGTGGCAAAACTAGGTGCATACCTTTGAAAGGCACTTGTTATACACATTCTGATCTCGAGATAATCTCCCACCTTTAGGTTTTTTGAAGGGGACAACACACCACATCTCCAATGGGTATGCACTGTCTGCCCATGTCCAATGATCATGTGGAATCAACTGCATAGGGTTTGAAGTGATGCGAGTCCCCTGGAAGGCCCACACATCATGGACACTTCCCAGATGTCCAAGTCCATAGTCCATGACAAGAAGATTGTGCAGCAAAACAATAAGCTATCTCGGTAAGTTTCTTCTGCTGTTCACACTCAGTGTTTGAGTACACACTTGGCAGTTCAACAAGTACCTAGATTTTCTATCATAGAACATTTCCCTGAAGATATGTGGTTTCTCAAAGAGGGGAATACTCAAACCATCAGTGGCAAACATGCCATTCCTCCAGGCTGAACAGGTGCATGACTCAGTGAAAACCTGTGCTCTTTCCATCTCCTGCAAGTCTTCAGACAGAATATTGATGAATCTATTGTGCTCATCCAGTATAGCTACCATCACACAGTTTGTACAATTGACAACTGAGCCAATGCTAACACTGGCCCACTGCACTACATCCTCAGGCAATGCCACATTTCCATAATGCCCTGTGCAGAAAAGGAAGATTGCCAACCGGACTGCGACTGCCAGCTGATGGTTTTCAGAATTGCTTTGGAATATTGTGTGTCCACTAATCTGATCCAGAATGTGATCAAAAATTGGTGGGTCTACATGAAGGCACTTTTGAAACAGGTGGGGCTGATGATCCACAAAATGTTTGAGGAGGCACAGCTGAGATGCCCACATCATTGGCATCTTAGGTCTCTCAAGGATACACACATGCTCTACTTCATCTCTGAGAGCTGTGATTGCATTTAGCAGCTGAGCATAATGCCATCACACTCAGCTGTGGAGTCTGTGTCATCAGAGGCGCTGGATTCGAAATCTGACAGGATTGGAGTGACTGGTGATGGTGGAGTGATGAAGAAGAGAGTTGTGGGGGAGCTGGAGCCTGAACTCAGCAATGTTGACATAGATTCCGAGCTGCTACCATCAACTCCACATCATGCATTTTCAAGCCTTGCTATCACAACATGAAGGCTAGTCTCATCCAGCTGTTTGAGCAGATCTTGGCAGACAGATTTCTGGGGCATCTGGTAGCTCTTGGATGATGGGTAGATGTTTATTGATCATGTACAATGCATTAATATGAGTTTGATATGTTATTTGACATGTATCTTCCAGGATAAGTAACTACCATGTATTGCTAGTCAAGCAGTGCCACAGGGCATGGCACATCAGAGTCAAATTTTATAGCAGCAGTGGCCTGTCAGAGTGCAATTCCAGAGCACTTCCAAAGCCACCTTGAGCACCACTAATATATGTTATATTGTTTGACAACAAGGCTATTTTCATCCACTTTCCTTGCATATAGTTACAAACATTTACCATTCATCAGTAAATCACTTTTGCTGGCCAGAGCTGTCCAGAGCTGTCCAGCACTGGACAGATTCCCTAGGACTACCAGCTCACAAAGTGGTCTACTGATGTTGGTACTATACAATGCTGCATGGCACTGCTGTCAAAAAATGTACCTGTTATACCTTTACTTCTCAGCCTTTATGGTGAAGCCTAAAATATGCATTCCTACATTACTATCTGCACCACAGCCCTTGCATCCACCTGTCTATATGGGTATTGTTGTCAAGTCTGAATCTACACAACTGCTGCAACAACT